CGAGTTTTGATCCCAATTTGTGAATCCTCTTTTCAGATATATGACCCAATCTAGCAAGCCAAATTGTGAATGAACTATGATTATCTAATTTTCTTTTATTTTGTTGAATGGTTAGGATGGGACTTTGTGGTGTAATGGTATATAATCCATTTGTCAAATTACTGGAATATATAAAAGTCGTATCTTTGAAAATAGAACACTTTCCACCTTCAATTACAAACTTAAAACCTTCTCTATCCAGAACTGGAATAGAGATAATGTTTCTTATAATGTCCGGAACATACAAACAGTTTGTAAGGCAAATATTTACACCATCATTAAATGCTAGATAAACATTCCCAATTGCCTTGGCAGCAACTCTTGCTCCATTGCCCATCCTTAGGATTGTTTCTTCAGGTTCTAGCATGTTACTTCTTGCCATCATCTGCAAATCATTGCAAATATGTGAGCCACAGCCGGTATCTAATACCCAAGAAGAATCAATAACTGATAAGTTAACTTCAACAAAATAAATACCTGAACTCTTCAGGCTTGCAAGATACTCCTTGCTATTCCTCTTCCAGTGCCCAGTTTTACCACAATGATAACATTCATGATTAGACCGAGGATTAACCTTTTCTTTGTTCTTCCCTTTATCGTTATTTGCCTTCTTGTTGGGTTTATTGGGAACCTTTCCCTTCCCCTTCCTCTTCTTAGACTTTAAGGTCTTCGCTTTGGAAGTGGATCCAACAAGAAGCACCGGCTTATTCTTTTTAATTGTGGATTCAGCCGTCTTTAACATGTTCACTAATTCTGGCAGAGAAGTCTCCATATTATGCATGTTAAAGTTAACGACAAAACTGTCAAATGACGGTGGCAGAGATTGCAGCATGAGATCCACATAGAGTTCATTATCTATAATGACTCCAAGTGATGAAAGTCTTTCCACAAGAGCTATCATCTTCAGCCCATGATCATGAACTGAAGAGCTCTCGGTCATACGACACCTGAAAAGTTCCTTAGATATCTGATATCTAATCTGCCGCGTCCTATCACCATACAACTCTTGTAAGTGAAGGAGTATTTCAGAAGCATTATTCAACAATTCGTTCTGTCTCTGCAACTCATTAGACATAGATGCTAACATGTAGCACCGAGCCTGGAGATTGTCATCTGTATGACGTAAATACTCTCCATACTCATCAGCTGTCTGATCCTCTGGTGAAGGAGGAGGGACTCTGTCCAGTACATATTCCCTCTTCTCAGACTGAAGAACAATTTTTAGGTTCCTTAGCCAATCGTTAAAGTTGGGTCCAGTTAATTTGTTTTGTTCTAGTATACTTGCGATTGGATTTTTAGCCATTTTCGTAGATTAATCTACAAAATAACAAACGAAGCAGAAAATAGTTAGACTATGGAATTTATATTCATTTAACATTAGGTCTTTAAAATTAAATGTCTTCCACTATTTTAATTAAAAATTTTAATTATGAAAATCTAATTTTTCATAGTGGGCTTAAAGTCCAATAAAAATATTCCATATCCCAATTTTATGAGTACGCATGGAACACTTATATCGGTAGTCAACTTTTGACAATTGTATCGCTATACAACCTTCAAGATATTTTGCCTCACCTTTCCTTATATACCTCAATTTTATGACCGTATATATTACTCAGTGTCAAATCAAACCCATCAAACATTCATGATAACGGCCCACCAGAGTGTCCCACGACTCATGGTCAACACAAAAAGGAATCCGTTTCATGAGTATCTTTATACTTAGTAGGGATCACAACTTTCGATACAAAACCACCCCACGACTCATGGTCAGTGATAAAGCATCGTAGCATCTCATGTCGTTTACTTTTGATGGAAAGCCTGGATTAATAAGTTCTAACTTATTTCTATCCATTATTGATTTGATATGAATTAATCTCATTAATTCTTTAGGGTTCCTTAGATCTCATCGATTACCATCTTTACGTTTATTTACCGTTTCATCCATCGCATGAATCACAAACATAAATAAACCTAACATACATCTAATGCATACATTCGGTGGATGATCATGACCTTGCCTATGCGATCCATTCGAGCCAAAATGGATCTATGCCTATGCACGTGATAAAATAAATAAATAAAACTACTTCTATTATAATTTATTTTATCTACACATACAAGCACAGGCCTTCGAGTTTTATAACTTGTAAAATTACCCACACAAGCGTGGGCCTTTTGCATCGAACGGTCTCCACCTAGATCCAATCTCTATCGATACAAGAATTTAAAATTTTACAAATCATAACTCAAGAGACTCGCAGGTCTCGATAAATTACATTCATTCAATCTTATTGAAAAATTAAACCATTCAATCATATTGAATTAAAAGGCAACCATTCAATCACATTGCATAATAAAATAGACATTCAATCATATTGAATATGAGGCTCATGATCATCCCATTCATCATATGAATTAAAACATAATAAAAAAAAATTATTAAGTCACACGACCAGTGTGAGTCCACACGACCCGTGTGATCCTATCACACGACCCATGTGAAAAATCCGTAAGAAAAAATCAAAATTTTCCTGAAGTCACACGACCCGCGTGGCTCAAGACACGGGTCGTGTGTCTCCACACGACTCGTGTGACTATGTCACACGACTCGTGTGAAAATCACGAACCAAAAAAAAAAAATTTCTTTATACTCACACGACCCGTGTGGCTCATGGACACGGCTCGTGTGAGTACACACAACTAGTGTGACTTAGTCACACGACCCGTGTGGCTAAAAAATCGAATTTTTTATTTATTTTGATAATTAATATGTTTATCATATAAACATTTAATTATCATATAAACTTAAACAAATCAAAATCTATTTTCAAAGATGATAACCATGGCTCTGATACCACTGTTGTGTTCGCCTGTACCATACTGGCTATACGCAGCAGAATTTAAAAATATTCAAAACAAGTATTTAACACTTAAATACTTAACCCGTATATACATATGGCGAATT